TTCAAAATTTTATTCAAGGACCCTACCATGCTTACAAATTGAAATGTTCTAAAAATAAACTGTTGATCATCATCCTGGTCCTCTTATTGTGTCTTAGTTTTTATAATGAGGTTGCTGACATCGGTATTATTTATTTCTATATTAGCGTCTGTACCTGAATCATTCTTTTAGCTGTGTTCAGTGTTAATTTGAGAGGATCTAATCATTTCAATTATTCATTAGAATTTCAAAGTGCTCAAGGCCTTTCCAGACTTAATCGATATTTTGGGATTATTGTGAATTTATTCAATGACGTTTTGGATTTTATCATTCTGATACATCCAAAACTCTGGCACATCAGCACATTCAAGATTAAAATTTATTCAGAATACTACAGTAATAAAGTTCGGAACACTGTGCATTTAGACTTGTTATCCAACGTTTATGACTAATTGGAATTTAATTAACAATAATATAAGTTCCATTTCAATTTTCACTTTGTGTTCTAGGGAAATAAATTATTTCTTAAATTATACTAACTTATTAGCTTTCGCATTTTCTGTTACGTAGTTTAAGTCTATAGAGTAAAAACAGCAAAGACTACAAGATGGAACAATAATTTTGGACCCTGCATGATAGAACGTTACCATATGGAGACCGCAATATGGAACAAGACTCGCTGGTGTCAGAAAGATGGAACAATGACGAACAAACACAGTGCACCGTTTTTTCTGAACCATCTTTTGCAGAAAGTTGGATATTTGTTTTTAAAAAAGTTAAACTAATCGTCTGTGGAGTATAAGTTTGTGTCATCATATACTTATTCTAATAAGTGATCCATCAATCGGATTTTTTTCAGATGTCAGGAATGTTAAATACGAGCATTTTTTTCGAGCATTGCAATTACTCTATGATGGAAAACAAAGAACAGATAATTGAGGGAGGATTACGGTTGCAGTTGTGTTAACAAAACAAATTAACATAAATCTAATCGACATAACCTTTAGATCGAGTGTGTATGAAAGAAAACATTTATAATTCTTTAGGTTTATATAAAATTAAAGTGATATCCTGTTTCACTTGCCTCCGTTTTATTTTGTATAATTTCCGACAAAAGTATACGCTAAAGTATTTACGCCTCCTTGATAGCTTTGTTAGTATTCAGTGATTATTCGTTTGATCATGGGGATCGGTATTGTACAGATATTTCTCAAACTGAGTTTTTGGCTAGCTACCTGGAGCAGACCTCATAACCTACAGTTTTGACTACACTTTATTGTAGCAACGTTAATTTTCGTAAAATACACAGTCCTTATTTTTTAACTTAAGGAATTCTCTGCATATTCTTTCAGAAATTTGAGATAGGGAAATTTCTTTGCATTACAAATTTAGGTCATATTTTGTTCCACGTGATATGGAATACCAATCTAGGCTTAAAAAGGCATAAGCATTAAGTCATGCAAATTCGAAAAAAGAATGACGATGCAAGTGTAAAATAAAACTTTCGTGACTGTGCCCTGGTTAGTTGATTTGACGACTTTTATGTGGTTCTTATGTATTAAAGAGCCCTTTAGTTGATAACGATTTTTGTATTCACATCATTAGTATCAAGCCATTAGCCAGCAGTTTTGTCTGATGACTAACCGTGATAATGAGATGAAGGTCTTGAAACTACATGAGTTTTAAGGGAAGAGAAAGAATTACTCCTCTGTTAGATCTCATTTTGTGGCGATTCTTGAAGCATCACGATCAATGAGTTTGATTTAATTCACTTACCATTTTGAACATATAACTATGATTATATAGTACTGTTAGGAGTTTTTGTATTGATAAATCCTTGTACTATATAATAGTTGGTACCTTTGTTATAAGTACCACGTTTTGTCATTATCGTGAACAACAGGTAAGAACGGTCGATTACAGGATAGAACGGGAGCTTGCAGGATAAAACAGCGAATTTTAATGATGATGCTACGCCACAGATAATGATCACATAAAGCAAATATAAACGTTACTTAATGTTTTAATTCTCCTATTTCTTGCCATTTTGCTAGGCCCAATTCCTTATTCAGTTCTTCGCACTTGCCTGCGATCGACTAATGTCATTTTGAAATGCAATGCTTGTACTTTCTTTATTAAAATCAACTTACACGTTTGAATCTCATACACTTTTTTAATTTATTTAAAAGCATGAAATGAAGCAGATGTTTGTGAAGATAAGCAAATAAACAAATTTCCAGGAAGACTTCAGAGGCAGAACTACATATGTAGATGACGCACTTGTGGGTGGGGGTGGGGTGGGGTGGGGTGGCGTGGGCTCTATGTGAAGTTTATCTACCTCCATCAATGTACTTGTTCCTGTAGACAATCGTACGACAATTGCAAATGTCAGTATGTTTATCTACACATGTTGGAAATAAAATATTGCGTACATGGTCTAACCGCTCCGGTGGCCTAGTGGTTAGAGCGTCCGCTTCGGATGCGGAAGGTCGTGGGTTAGAACCCCGGCCCAGTCATAGCAAAGACTTACAAAAATGGTAATAAAAGCTTCCTCGCTTGGCTCTCAACATTAAGAGATTAGTGTTAAGACTGGTCGGCCTGGTGTCAGGATAGTGTGACTGGTTGGGACATCATGTTACATGTCTGCGGCATGATGCCCCAGTGCTAGACATCACCATAAACTGCCACACTGAAGACATCGTAGCGATATGACTGAAAAATTGTCAAAGCTACGTTAAAAATCATGTTCTCTCTCTCTCTCTCTCTCTCTCTCTCTCTCTCTCTCTCTCTCTCTCTCTCTCTCTCTCTCTCTCTCTCTCTCTCTCTCTCTCTCTCTCTCTCTCTCTCTCTCTCTCTCTCTCTCTCTCTCTCTCTCTCTCTCTCCGTGGTCTTAATATAAGTAATAAAACAGAGTGAGAAGCAAGAAGCTTTGCAAATTTCAACAAATAAGTTTTCTTCAACACGCTGTGGAAATGTAAACAAAATAACATATGGCATTGCGAAATAAATCCCAAATGATCCTAGAATTTCTAGCACAAGTTTTAATACTTAAAGTTCGGAATAAACTTTAGTAGCAATCTAAATTATATCAAGCACTGAAAGTATTGATGTTCCTGTGATGACGTAGGTCATAATGATGTATCACCAGTGTTTTGCTAACTCACAATAACACAATCCAAAAACATATGCTTATTTAAAATTTCAATATAAATCTAAGTCTATATTTCAGAGCATGCTATTTTTCAGTACTTTGTATAAATTGTAGCAAACAACGGGTAGACCCAGCATTACACGGTTAATTTCCGAAGTTCTGGACTCAGACTGAGATAAACATGTTTACAAAACTAAAATCAGTTATTAAAGTCAGGTAGAAAATGAACTTTGATTTTGGACAAAGTCAAGTCCAAAATACAAATTTCCAAAGCATATTTTTTTAAATAACGCAAACTAAATATACGTATAACTATTATATAGACTGTGCATATGATATGCCACGAAATGTATGCAGTATTCATTTGAATGATGATCCTGTTGCTAAATTTCAATTTTATGCCAGCATTTGGTGGCATATCATACTATACATATATTCTATAAATACATACCCCTTAGAGGTTCATCCCTATAGAAGGCTTAGGCATATGCCAGAAGAATACCACGGATGCAGCGTCAGATGTTTACTTCTTAAGAAAAGGACGATATTCGACTTCTTGTTTATATTCATGACATTGCCTCTCTTTCTCTCTCTCTCTCTCTCTCTCTCTCTCTCTCTCTCTCTCTCTCTCTCTCTCTCTCTCTCTCTCTCTCTCTCTCTCTCTCTCTCTCTCTCTCTCTCTCTCTCTCTCTCTGGAATTTTGCATAGTGTAGTATATCGGCATGACAGTGCTAATTTCACGAATGTACAGAACTTTCCCTATTTCGGAGTCCATTATTCACAGGCAGTCAAAAGAAATAACCGATCCGTTCAATATCGTGCTTCATCATTTCTTGTCCGTTGTTGTCTTTATTGTAATTTCTTTTAAAAGTGTTTACGTGTCGGTATAAAATATAAAAGACAAACTTGAGGGGGTTTAAAGTTCGATGTGAGAATCTCAAGATCGGGTCCTCACTTTACATCATGGGTCTCAAACTCAAATCACCCTGAGAGCCGCTTGAGGGCATTTTTCATGGCCAAACGGCCGCACTCTCTTTGTTATATCTTATGACCCTTTGTGATGCCAATCATTTTTCTGGCCACAAAACACATATTTATATAAACCAAGTACATTTAAACAATTATTACTGCACTTTACAAGTATTTATTTCTGTATCTACATATATCTCAACCCACCCCATCTCCAACACTTATATACCACGTCTATTAATGTTATGGCGCATGCTGATTAGATATTCTAAGAAAAAAAAATTGTTTTGAAGAAGATACTAATATTCTTGCATATACTGTCCTTTATATAACGGGCATCGTATTAGCAAGATGCATGCAATATGGTCTTAATGCTAAGGTAAAATAAAATAAGGGTAGTGCCTTTGAAAATATATTTACTTTTTGAGTAACATGCTTACTCATTCATCCCAATGTAAGATTACGTAATAATGAAATAACTATAAAATAATCTCTAGTAAAGAAGGAATAAGAACAGTCATCTAATCTTAGATATATACACATATAACACAAACCTATGTACAAATATGCATGCATTAATTCCTACAGACATACGTCCATTAATATATCAGCACTTCTGAATTGTGACTATTTACCATCAACCACGCATACATACATACATACATACATACATACATACATACATACATACATACATACATACATACATACATACATACATACATACATACATACATACATACATACATACATACATACATACATACATACATACATACATACATACATACATACATAAAATAAGAAGAAATTGTATCATTACAATTATACTTTTAAAGTCAGCTCAGATGTTTTTGATGAATATTGGTAACAGGTAGGTGTTGCACTAAAAATTCAAATTGAGCGAAATACAAGCTTGGAATAATCTGACAATGTTGCATATATTCTGTTTGTTTCTAGATAAAAATATACAGAAAACTGCAATCATAAGTCTTTAGGATCGTCGTTGGAATTTATATGATATATTAAACCACGAAACAAAGACGAGGTTAAAGATTAATTACGTAATTTTAAAAGTACAGCCTTATCCAACCACAAAATCAACAAGTTAAAAATTAAATGGTGCTTTTAAAATATTCTGCCAAACCAAGAAACAATGGTGAAGGTAATACTTCAGAATATAATTAATAAATGCTATTGATTTAAAAAAACAATGGCGTGTTGAAACGTTGATGATTTTACCGTGCCTTTTTGCATGTGTATTGAATTTATTCTTCTTTGAGTTCGCGTACTAAATCAGCTCTTGTCAAGATTCAATTCTTTTTTTTAGTGTATTTCGACTCTTGACTACATCCAATTTATTTAGTTTGCATGTTAGTTCAGCTTTTCGATACGTAGGACTTGGTGTATTCCTATTCAAGAAACTTTTACGTATTACACAGAAAATTGATAATCTAAAAAATCCAAAAGCATGAACTTTACTATATATGCATGTACCTAAGTCAATGAAAACAACAATTCATTAAACCTTTGGAATTTTTTGATCGAATTATAACTCTCTAACATTTCACCAGTTATCTGAACTATTTGTTATCGTTTTTTTATTTGTTTCTGATGGTGGGTGGTAGGGGTACATAATTTTAATCGCGTTATGTATTAGTCGGACATGGCAGTCGCTGCTTATTGGCCCATTTAATCCAATTATCATGTCGGTTTTATTTAGGTGGTGGCGGTTATTTCCGTCGCATCTTAAATGGAATTCAACCATTACAAAAAAATTCTACAAGCGGCTTTACTCAGACTTGAAGTAGCAATGACCACATGAAATATAGACGTGAATTTTAACAAACCTCACATTTTGTAAAAAGAATTTCATCAGAGCGGCAATTTTCATATTATCAACACATTAGAAAAGAAATACAATTTTGGGCATTATTTATTTAAATTTTAATTGTCTTGTCTGCACATTTCGGTGTACATATTATATTTAGTAATATATTTAACAGCTGTTGAGCTACCCGTCGATAGGAGGGTTTATCTGGCGATATCTACATACTACTTCAAGATCAAATCCTGTGTTTGATGACTTGTTAATCTACATTGACCAGCACACCCCCTTTGTATTGTGGTCAATTTGAATTTCGTGCTAGATTCGGCTATATCAAATACCAGTAAGGGTCTAAAAGCAATGCACAGCTGTGTTTCGGAAAGCTTTGGATGCAAGAACATTGCACGTTGTAATGAACAAGTGATAGTATACCACATATCAGCCATCGGCATCAAAATAGATTTGGGGGTGGGGGATTTTTATTACTAGTAGTTATGACAATTATGTATAAAATGAATATATTCACCATACTTACAGAATATATGGAATTTAATAAGGTAGGGTTTATCGGGCTAAGACACTAACTTGATAATAACTTCATGGTTGCAAATCAAGTCTTAAGCTTTCTGTTCTAGTAAGGATGGTCTCCAAAGACCAAAATGTTAAAAGTGACTCATGATCTGAATGAAAAACAAGATTCATTTTCCCACGTATGCAACAAATGCTGCCATATGAGAAAGCCCATCCCACATGAATGTGCACAGTAAACTAAATGAATGAAATCATGTTTTCCCTGTTTGATCGTTGACGTCTATTGTTTCTTGCAATTGTTGCAAAAACAAAACACGATTCATTTTCCTAAGCAAAACTTATTGCCTATAAACTGAGTCGCATGGCTGTCGTTTCTAAACCGGTTTTGTTATCAGGGGTAATATATCAAACTGATGCTGAAGATGGATGGAATACTATCTATACCTTTTTCACACGTTGTCAGGAATGCAGAATTCGTAATTTGACTTATGTTTAATAAAAAGACTTTTGATAGAGAGCTATGAAATAGATTCTCAAAGCTCGGGGGCTTTTATCGTTGTTTATTTATCTTTAAATAGGCATGTAACAATGTAATTAAAACTAAAAGCTGCAAAGTTTTGGATATGGAAGTGATATTAGTGACGCATTACAATTATTTTCCGTCTAAATTGTTTTGTGTTGCCGAATAACTCCCATATTACATAATTTTATTTTCGTACAATAATATAGTTTAATTATTTTAAATTATGGGGGCTATAAAAAAAATAAATTTAATAAAAGGACTTTATTTCGCGACGAAATATAATACCTTACGGATTGTAAAAGAATAACTTCACGTATTTCTTTACACTGACATTATATACAAGCAGAAGAAGTAACAACGTTGGGACACTATCTGCATTTATATTTGCCCTTGCGGTAGATACTTCGCACATAACGTTCCTTGTTACGTGCTCAAGTGTCTCTGCTCCACCGCCACAAACGTTGTGGTGTCTAATTTCTAACAACTACACGAAATAAAATAATCTGTATAACTACTGAT